CAATTCATGTAAAAATGAGTTTACTTATATATAAATATAGATATTTGTATCATCAACTTCGTAAGAACTTCGAATCCGTGTCACTCTCAATCCTTTAAAAATATTAAAAAAAATAAAAAATAAAAAATCAGGTCTTTATAATTTAATTTCAACATCTATAATTTATGAAAAATAAGTTTTTTAGTTGAAAATTCGATTTAAATTGATCTTTTGCAGCACATTGCATAGTCTTTTTTTCGATGAGAGCGATAATTTTTTAAGAAAAAAATAATTAATGTTAAAATTAATAAATACCAAAAAAAAAGTAAAACATCAACATTAAAAATTCTAATAATCCAACTAAATACTCGGTTTTATAAATTAATATATTTACAATTATGAGGCAAAAAGAGTAAATCATTATAAATATTTTTAAAAAAGTTTCTAGAAATGAAAATATAAATATTGTTAGTATTTTTTTAATAAAATAAATAATATTATCTATTTAAATTAAAATAAAATAGAAAATAAGTTTTCCTTTTGTTATAAAATGTTATTTTATTTTGCATTTTTATCCATATTTTTAGTGCTTTCTCTTTATATGTATATAAATAATGCTTTTAAAATAAAATTCATGAGGGCCCGTGGGTCTCCCTGGACCTCATGTAGGTCCGACTCTTCACTTAAGATTCACTCTCCTTAAGACGAAATATCCCTGCATATTCACGTTTTACAGATAACCACTTTTGGTTTGTGCAGGGCCGTTTCTAGAAATTTGGAGGTCCCAGACAAATTTACCTTTTCGAATTTTTTGAGTTGCATTTGCGTGGTAGGGCTATTTGTGGATAGACTTATAAAAGAAAAAAATCTAATTAAACAATACTATTAAATAAATAAATAATTGAAAAAAAAAATCTTATTTTCTTGACCTTGAAAATTTAGCTTTAATAAATTATTATTTGTATTCAAGAAGCCACGAATATAACAAATTTATTCTCACACAACTTTTTTCTGACCGAACATCATAAAAAAACAAATGAAATATTTAGGACCTCAAATTTCTACACAAAGTACATATTTTGCTATTAGCTCCTTCATTAATTAGCCTCTTCATTTGTGTAATGGGCCGAGATCATATTTAGCCATTAGCCCATTTATTTGTGTAAATAAATAAAAAATAAAACCAAAAAAAAAATACATAACATTAAAAAAAAATTTGAGGCCCCTAATAATTGGAGGCCCTAGGCATGGGCCCATGGTGCCTCCCCTTAGAGCCGGCCCTGGGTTTGTGTATAGCGGTAACTGAAATGCACAAATCTTTAGCAAACAATACACTTGTTTCAGAACTCTCAAGATAGAAACGAATACAAAAAACACAAGGTGATTTATGAACTTTGTAATAATGCAAAGTAGCTTTTAAATTTTGATTTTATGAATGATTTCAGAGATGTTAAACGGGCTAGCCCTAGCAGTTACGGGCTAGCCCTAGCGGGCTTCGGGCTAAACGGTCCGGGCCTAAAAAGCTCGGATTTAAACGGGCTACCAATAAAAGGACCTAACCCTAACCCTAACCCTAGCGGGCTTCAGGCTAAACGGGCTTTAATAATAATAATAATAATAATAATAATAATAATAATAATAATAATAATAATAATAATAATAATAATAATAATGTATCAAAAAATATCAAAAATAAAAAGAAAAAAATTATAAAACATTACAACGACTATTTAACGATTGTATTCAACGGTATTTATTATTTACTGCTCTATATATACAAACTACACATCATATATGAACACATACTACAAACTCGTAAATAGCATTTTTTTATCAAAAGAAAAAAATATTCGAATTATTACTCACAATTACCATTTCACTACTTGTATTTTGTACGCTTTGGAAATTTTTACGATATTATATCACTATAAATTCTATCACTATGTTTCATGTGTTAGGTCTTTGTCTCATTTGTTTCCTATTAGTCGTTCTGATTGAGTTAAATATTTTGGTGTGGAGTACAATAAGAATATTGTTAATAATTATCTTTCAAAATCAATATAATCCGTTACAGCTCATACTTATATGTGAAGTGGATAGCAAAATTTTAATATACAATGAACCTAAGAGTATATTACTTACTTGTTGCAAATATTTACAACGCTCAACTCAAGTTAAACGGGCCAGCCCTAGCGGGTTTCGAGCTAGCCCTAACGGGCTTCGGTTTAAATGGTCCGGGCCTAAAAAGCCTTGATTTAAACGGGTTACCAATAAAAAACCCTAACCCTGTTTTTTTCGGGCTAAACGGGCCGGCCCGTCGGGCCAAGGACCGTTTAACATCTCTAGATTTCACGTTCTTTGGTATTTATAAATGTTTTCAAACATTTTCAGGGGGTCCCATATGTCAAAAGTCACCTTTCGTTACTTGCTCGGTCGTCCAAAACTGAATTGGAACCTATCCGGCATGAGCAGGTACGTTTGGGCCGCAAGCTCATCGCGCCCAACTAATGAGTTGTTCGATGCGTTGCGCCCCACGACGGGGCTTAACGCGTATCGGGATCTTGTACGCGCTTGTCAGGACACAGAATTGCGTCCGATTTTTTCCTACTTGTCCCCAACGAATCCTTCTAGAGTTCTAGAATGCAGTATAGCTCGTTTGACTTGTCTAAACATTTGTCAAATACAGAACTTTTGTGAATTTAACAATCTTTATGTTAGTCACACAATTTTGAGTTACATAAACTCAAATTCTCTCACATTTCAACTTCAGAATTAAAATATCTCATTCAATCTTAAATAGTTTTGAGATTTTATTCTAAGTCTCAATTTACATAAAATGAAAGCGTCAAATGGGCACAAAAGATCTAATTTGTGATAAGGCCTTATTTTGTAGTTTGTGATGAACTATATCGCATTGGTGGAAATGAGGGAGAAGCTACATCATGTCCTTTTTTTGTCCTTCCAACAAAGCGTGTGGAAGAGTTTCTTATGAGTGGCACACTTTCAATGTTTGTTTATTATACAAATTTTATTTTTTAGTAAATTTGTAGCTTACAGGCATTCTTGATTTTGAAGGTGAAGTTACTACCATCACCTCCGATCAAATTACTGTAAAACGAACCCCCTGGCTTCTCCTTTTTCCTCTCAGCTGCGCACAAAATAATTCGCATCCTCCGACTTCTGCTTTTTCCTCTTAGCTGCGCACAAAATAATTCGCATCACCTGCCTCTTCGTCAAAGTTAGCTTTCTCCACACACTTTTGAGCTAGTTCATATTGCATCTCTAATCTTACTCTTAACACTATATTTTTCATAAATATGGACAGCAAGACAGTAAAATTATGCACACAGTACATATGCATTCTTGAAAGAATGCTTCTTCAAGGCTGTAACGCATGCACCCATCAAGTTCACTACATAAGAAACATCAACATCAAACAAATTATGAAAAAAACTCTTTTGCAGAGGTTGATAAACCATCAAAATGAGGAGATATTGATGGTCGAGACAACAAGATTTACAACGCATGTTGATAAACCATCCAAGTGATGTGGTGTAATACTACAACAGCCGCGTAGCGAATACTGCCAGCAAATAATGACAGATACAAAACTATTCAGAGTCAGATGAATAAGAAGTCGAGCCTTGCCGAACGCTTTTAGTTGGGGCTTTGGATTTGGATGTGTTGAATGAGGATTCACCCTCATACAAGATGACCTTTGTTTTAGCCAACCTCTCTTCTAATTCCTCTGTACTGAAGTCATCAGTTCCCCCAAGCTCGTCAAAACCCACCTAATTTGCATCAAAAAGGAAAAATAATAAACAATTTTTATCAGGAAATCCCTTATTCTTCCCCAATGAAGCCCAAACTTCAAAATGATTAGCAGGTAGTTACTAGTTACCACATAATCCTCCACTTTGGCATTCTTCACAAGAGCAAGGGTCGGGAGAACAACAATCCGTAGCTTCTCACTCAAGTATGGACTTTTCTCGGCATTAATTTTCACAAAACGTGTTTCGATATGTTGCTTTGCCAGAATAGACAAATGCTTGTCCACAACCTGCAGTTGATCCATTTTGGAATACACCAAATCCTCAGGCACACAGACGATCATATGTAAACAGCATTATGAAATGGCACTCAGTGTTTCAATACGAGGGTCTAGGGTACTTATGTTTCAACAAATTCTAGTAGACTGAAGAAGGAAAAAAAAAAAAAAAAAGAACTTCCTATATTGCCCTACGGCTATTTGACTCGGGCCTCTCTTAGTTATTACTACTTTTGGTTAAATGCAGTTGCCCTCACTTCGAAAATCTCCAGGAAATGCATATTTGATTGGTAAAGAAACATGACAACACACCGAACTATACCAGCTTACTATAGGTGACAAATTTCTAATGAACCTGCAACTTTGATGAAAATTTAGATTCTTTTCCCAATTAGTATATCCTCCACTCCCGGATAAACAAAACAAATTCTTCAATGAAGCTATAAAATTCCTACTTAACCATGACCCATATTAATGCCCATCATACTCTATTGGCTCCAGTTTAGAGAAAAGGGATCTGCCAAACATTTCAAAAACTCCATGACCAGATGAACAATAAACCAAGAACACAGCTTTCAAATTCAGACCACATTAATCCTGTTTCTTACAACCAAGGATCTATAAACAACACACACATGCTCAGAAGTCGGAACTACACAAACACAAAGGAACCGTCCACACCACTCAAATCATACGAAAGCAGGGCCACCCAATCACCCAATTAGAGCATCAGTTTTACCAATTTCAACGAAAGTTTTTTCAGAGCAAACTTGCGGAACAGATCAGGCACGCAAATATAGAGAATCCGCACCTTGCAAGGCCAATTCTCGCGGTAAAAATGGCAGACGACGCGTTCGCTGGCCTTGACGACGGAGAAAAAGTCCTTCTCGTTGGGGATCTCTGAGTACTCGCCGTGGCCGAGGCCGACCCAATGCCTCCTCTTCTCCGCCATTTTCTTCATCTGCTGCAGCCTACGCTCTCTCAGCACTTCAAGATCGTCCAAATCCAACCGCTCCAGCGCCGCGATCTCGTCGTCGATCTTGTCCTCCACGGCCTTCGCCACCGTCAGCACTTGTTGCTCGATTACCTGAAAGATTCACATTCAACAACCGTTTCGGGAAAGAAAAAAAAAATCGATTCAGCAAAAAAATACAGATTCACCATTGGCACGCTTGCATACCTCTTGAACTTTTGAATTCTCCATGGCTGATACGATTGGAATTGCTGCGAATATCTGCGACGAGCTGAAAATGTAAAGTGGAAATCTTTCTTTGAAATTGAAAATTGAAATGAGAGAGATTTGTGCCGCACGGGCTGCTTAATGGAGCGTAATTTTTTTCGTGGACTAGGGCTTTAGTGGGCTCATCTAGATTGGGCTTGCTCAGATTGTATGCGGACCAATAATTTAAGTCGGTGTTCTTACCCAAAGATTCATATCGAGGTGGTATTAAACTCGCACATCAGTCCAAGTGCTTGTTAAGTGTACTTGGTTCGGTACGATTCGATAAGGCTCGTTATATTTGAAAAATAAGGTTTTTGTGTAACTTTTGAATTATTAATTTCGCTGGAACTAAGTAAGACTCGTTCACTACATCAGTTTGAGTTCAGCTAGTTTATCAATACAATTAGTTAATGTATTGACGCAGTTCAACTCGATAAAAGCTCGAGCCCAAAATCGACTATCCGAAGTCCGAGTTTGAATCAACTAGTTTACAGTTATGCATACTTAACTTGCGTTTATCTTTTGCCTTCAATATTCTTTCAATGTTTTACATAGGTTTAGTACTTAAGTCGTTTAGAAAAATGAAAACAAAGAAAAAGAATTAAGATTTCATGAATTTAATTTAGTTGTTTGACTGTACATCTAGCATCACAAATTACAAAGAGATAATTACCCAGTGTACCAGTCAAACATTAAAATATTGTATATATACTTTAAAACCCTAAATATTTGTCTATGTACAAGATAAACACGACACCCCTCTCTCTCTCTCTCTTTCTCTCTCTCTCTCTCTCTCTCTCTCTCTCTCTCTCTCTCTCTCTCTCTCTCTCTCTCTCTCTCTCTCTCTCTCTCTCTCTCTCTCTAAACCTCTTACATTAAAATATTAATTGCACAAGGTAGAATCAGATCGATTTTAACACGGCACCTCTCTCTCTCTTTAATCGCCCTTAATTGCACCTCTCCACATTAAAACACGGTACCTCTCTCTCTTTATCATCTTCACCCCCTTCGTCATCAGTAATTTATCTGGTACGAATTCCTACTGACTTTTTGATTTACGATGTATCAATGTTCTCAAGAGTAGCATCGAGCCTCGAAAGGGCAAGCCATGCTTCAAGGCTATGTCAGTCGCGAAGAGGATGGGGATAGAGCATGAGGTTCGTCAGGTGTTGGTCCATCGGTGCCTTAGGGGCAATCATTGTCTGGGCACCAAAGCAAGATAAGCCGACCAGTTCAATCCAAGAATAGCCAAACAACAAAAAGTGATTCTACCTCACCCAAGAAAGGTTTTGCATGAACTCCTCTCGGCCTTGGTTCTTATTTAATATTGGTTTAATTCCCGCTATTTGGCTCCGCCATCTCTCACCCCATTCGATCGCACATCTGCCCCAATACGACGCCGGCAAACAGAATGTCCGGGTGTGCGAGATCTGGTCCTCCACAATTGAGACCACGGGACGCGACAGTGAGGACGAGAAGAAGGTTTTGGAGAGGCAATAAAAGTTGGGTCAGCGCGAGGAAGAATAAGAAGAATATGACTTGCTCCTTCCTGAGTGTCGACGAGTGTTAACATTCTCAAACACCACCCCACATAAGAATTGTTGCATTAATATTTTCCTGAGGCACTAGTTTTTCGAGTAAGAAGAAGGAATGTTTTTTTTT